AACAATCTCATGACAAAAATTTCAAGGACACAAATAAAGCTTTATTACATACCATTCTGTTTCCAGTAAAACTGACTGCTATTAAGTCTCTAGAAAAATCATCCCTTGAAATCTTTTTTAATATCTATGTAATAGGGGTATATAACCTATAAGGAAGAAAAAACTTAAAGAAAACCAACACTGTAAGAAAAATGTTTGCCCAGAGGTCCACTGAAAGACTCAAACAGACGGACAGGCTCCAAATTCCATGCTTTTACCATCAAGGCTATGTGTACTGTTGCCACAATTTATCTTAACTCATTCTCTTTGTGAAAGAAAGCTACTCTATAACCAGTTTTTCCTTACTGCAAACAATGACGCTGTAACTGTATGCAATTTGAAGTCTTACACTCTTCCCTGTAATGTGCTCAAAATGTTGTCAGAGTTTTACTCTCCTTTATCACTTAAGATGATCTGGGACAAAAGCAGACTGATGCAGCCTTATTTTGTGGTACAGGTGTTGGCAAGTGCTGATATGCTATCCTGACTATATTTTTTAAAAAAACATTAACAAAATCTTCCAACAGAAAATTTGAATTTAATGGCAGACATCACAATATATATAAATATATAGACATCTCAACAAAATTTTAATAATGCCACATCCAGAAAAGTTCTCTCTTTTGGCCTTTATTAAAATGTTTATTTAAATTAACAACAGATTTAACATGAGGCTGAAAATACAATACTACCCAAGATTCAGGCGAGAAACACAGAGAGATAAAACAGCCTAGGCAGAAATTAGAGCCAATTAGAAAGAATGTGCTTCTTAAGCTCCAGGTTCTCTTGGGCCATTAGCCAACACAGGTCCAACAGGACACAGTTCTTAAATGAATTTGGAAATTTGGATTTTTTAATTGATATGGCAGAATGATATGCCTGATTCCATATAACTGTACAGAGAGAGCAAAGCCCTAGGCTTGAGAGTGGCCCTGATGAGCCCTAGGACTCTCACCAAATAGAAGACTCATTTGACTCTGTGTACTATGTATTTCCATTTTTATGCATACCTGTCTATTTCTTTGGATATGTATTATTTTTCTCCTTCAGGAGCATTATAGGCTCTTACGCTATTATTATTAGTCTGCTTTCAAAAGCATGGGGGAAATACGATGTTATTTACTGTCTGGCAATAACTGTAGATACTAACCTTAAGGGATTCTTTCTTGGTGAGCTTGCTTGACACTGAGCTGTCTTTCTCCGAGCCATTATAAAGTTTAGATTCAGACTGAAATCACACAGAAATGAAGAGAAATAATAATGATCTATTCTACATGCACGGCATAAAAAGATGAATATTAAAACTAATTATGACTTTTTTTCAATTAATACAAATGTCAATTTCAAAATACCAGTTTATATAGATATATGGAATTTGTATTTAAAAAATTACATTAAAACATTCACATAACCACAAATAAAAATTAATCCATATTACAATATGAAGTTAAGATCCTTTTAACTGATGTATGCTCTTTTCCAAAAAATTTTCAAGAAGACTATACAACTATTTAGTATTCCTAAGAAAAAAGTAGCTGGAACAATGTTTATAACAGTTGAAACTAAAAAAACAAGGCATTAAAATTCTATCACGTTAATGCACATATTCTCCTACTGCTACTACTTTAATGTGCACGAACAAGGACACTCTCAGAATCTAGTGTTAAACTAATTTATATAAAATTTTTAAAAAACAGTACTCTTTGCATCTATTTCTTCTTTTTTATGGTTTTTAAAACCTTTTTTAAAATTTTATTTCTTTTAATGAACATTTACAGAAATTTTGGATTTCCATTCATTCACTGTTGCATTTTTATCCTTGCCCACCACACACCACTACCCCACACCCCCCACCCCTCTCCAGTTCACTCTTCTCTTTGAAAAGTAAAAGAAAAACGCCTTCATTGCTATACAATATCCCCCATTGCCCCGAGTATACTCCACTATGCAATCTTCATTCTGGACTCTTGTCATAACCATAATACCCAATCATATATTACTTTTAAACTGTTCTCCCCTCATCTGTTTCAATGCAGTATACATGATTTATCCAATTTTTCTCAGTCTCACCCCAACCCAGATGTCAGTCCCGTTCTCCAACAGTGGCACTATGCAGGATTTGTCTTTTTGTGACTGAGATATTTCACTCAGCATAATGTCCTCCAGGGTCACCCATCTTGAATAATATTGCAATAATTTTTCAATGCAGCGTAGTATTCCATTGTGTGACTCTACCAGAGCTTCTGTTTGTTGATGGGCACTTACATTGTTCCCAACTCTATGCTACTGTGAACAAATCCGCAATAAACACGGGTGTACATATATCTGCCTGTGTGACAGTTATGGTTTCTTTAGGTTATATTCCCAGTAGAGGAATTGCTGGGTCAAATGGTATTTCTATTTGCAACTTTTTGAGAAAGCACCAAACAGCCTTCCATAGTGGTTGCACCATTTTACACTGCCACCAACAGTGAATAAGGGTTCCGGTTTCTCCATAACCTTGCCAGCATTTGTTGTTTGCTGCTCTGTTAAACTTTGTTATTGTTACTGGGGTGAGATGATATCTCTTAGTTGTTTTGGTTTGCATCTCTCTAAGAGCTAGGGATTTTGAGCATTTCTTCATGTATTTGTTGGCCAATTGAATGTCTTCTTTGGTGAAGTGTCTGTTCATATCCTGTGCCCTTTTTTCAATGGGTTATTTACCTTTATCTTGTTGTGGTGCTTGAGTATTTTATAAATTCTAGATATAAGTTCCTTGTCAGACATGTCATTACCACATATTTTTTTCCCAATCTGTGACTTTCCTTTTTACTCTGTTGGAGAAGTTTTTAGATGTGCATAGGGATTTGACTTAGATGTGCATAGGTCCCATTCATCTATTTTATCCTCTCTTCCTAAGTTGTTACTGATGCTTTAAGTGGTTTTAAAATGAAAGTTTCTATTTCATATTTTGATAAGAACCCTGAGAAATAGGTGTAACATAGGGTTTTAACTTTATCTGAGATCATGAAAGTGTAGGTCAGAGGTAAATGTTATAGTCTCAGTCTTCTAACCCAATGATCTTCTCAGGAGAACATGTTTGTTCCCTCACTAGAGTAAAAGAGCACAAAACTAAAAGTTGTTTCCACAAATCTTGGAACAATTAAATGGTGCATATTCTTTCATGTACTATTATTTCTTTATGAAATATAATTTAATTTTATATTATTCACATATTGTTTTCAGACACAGGAGAAGGTATTTACAGTTCTAATCCAATGGTGGATTTTAAATGTTACATGGTCATGTCTATAAAATATCACTCAACATGAATTATAAAAAGCCTTTCAATTATAACTTCTTCAATCAATTTTAAGATCCAATAAGCATATGCATGGCCATGCTAATTTACCATGTTAATCAATTTACCAGCTAACCTGAAGAAAAGAATGTAACAAAATCCTATTAAATTAGAAAATTAAAAGGGATCAGCATTTGTTCTTCTTTTATCTTTCTCAAAAATGCTACTTGGTAGTACTAAGTATGTCATATTGTTGTGTGCCACTGAGTCACAGGTGAGCCTCTGAAAATAGTAGTTTTTCAGTGGCAGTAAAACCCACCAGAGGAGATATGAACTGTGTGTCCCTGGGTTGGCAGCACAACTCTTTGCCACTAGGTCACCACAGGCGATGCTAATATCCAACAGAATTAGAAGAAAACTGTAAACAATGCTCAATGTACAAGGTGGAAGAGGTTAACCTAATAAAAACTTTTTTAAAAGTTATTTTTTTGAGAACTACATTTGAAAGATCACATGGCTTACTTCCAAATGATGGGAAATATTATGGAAGAAAAACAATTTCACAAAATTGCTCAAGACAAACAAGTCTCTGTTTTCTCATTAATTCTGGGAACACAAATGTCATAACCACTGTAGAAGAAATATGAATGTTCAAAATTATCAGATTTTATGCCCTACAGTTAAATAAGGAAACATGTAATAATTTACTTCTTAAAACTCAATGCTGGAACTCACTGGCTGGTGAACCTCACGCTGTATACGGTATGGGAGGAGACTATGCACCTTTCCCTTTGGAGTGGCTAGTGGATTTGAATTGCCAGAGGCAGTTTTTGGGTTAACAGTACAATTCCCTATTTACTTCTTAGATACTATTAAGTGCAGAATACTTAAGGCATTAGATTAAAATTGATGGAAGTAAAATGGTTGTTTACCAAGTAATATATTAAAAAGGAGGAGTATCTTCCCTTTTCAAATGAGAAAATTAAAACTGATGGATGAATATCTTCCTAAAGTCACATACAACCAGTGCTCCTGTTGTTAGGTGCTGTGGAGTTGAGTACGAATCATAGTGACATTACCATTCAGTGTCATCCTCACAATCTCTGACACACTCAAACCTACTACTGCAGTCAAAGTGTCAATCTTTTTGAAAAGGATAAGTAGGGAAGCAGAAATTGGTACCTAGTCTAATGGCAAACTATTTTACTGAATTGACTTCTCATCTTTTATTTTAAACCTATTCACACAATATTTCAATCAGATTCAAACTTAAGGCTTATCTTAATGAACAAGAGCAAATGGGTTTCCCGTACAATGTCAAGATATGCTTTATTCTTTAAACAATCACGTATGTAAGGGATAGTAGGCCAGAAAGGTATCACACAAGATTTGTAAATTAGACAGAGCACATACACATCTTAAGGCATTCTTGCCAACTCAGAATCGGGAAAGGTTCAGTGGCATTGTTCCCAGGACTGCTATTAGTGTCTGTTGACTTGACCTCATACAACAACAACATATACCGTAAGTAGCTCTGAATGGCTTAGTGATAGGTAAGGAGTTGTGCTGTAAACCCAAAGATACATGGTTCAAATCTACCAGTTGTTCTCCTGTGATTAACTGTCTCTGAAAACCCACTGGGGGGTAAGATATGAGTAGGTTCTGATTTGATGATAAACAACAACATACAATATAAACACTTTTGTTAGTAGTATTTTACTAGATTTCCTGTTCTTATAAATCTGCTGACCACTCTCTTTTGGGTGACCACAGATACACAATATATGACTGTTTGCTTCTTCATAAAACAGTGTTAGAAAGTTTATCAAGGTTTTGTTCACAATAACAAAGAGCTGCAAAAAAACCAATTGCCCATCAACAAACGAATGGATAGAGAAGCTGTGGTATAGTCACTCAATGGAATACTACATTGCATTGAAAACCAAGGAACTCATGAAATAGTATTCAAAATGAATGACCCTGGAGGCCATTAGGCTGAGTGAAATATCTTAGTCACAAAGGGACAAATACTGCATAGTGCCACTGATGTAAAATGGGACTGACATTGGGGTTGAAGGGAGACTGAGAAAGAGAAATTATGTACACTGCATTGAAACAGATGAGGGAGAGAACTGTTTAAAAGGGATATATGATTAGGTATAACAGTCATGACAGGAGTCCAGAACGAAGGCTGCATAGTTGAGTGGACTTGGGGGGAGGGATTGCATAATAATGAAAGAATTTAATGAAAGAGTAGAGTGAACTGAGGGGGGAAGGATGGGCAGGGAAAAATGTGCAACAATGAATGAATGGAAATCCGAAGTCTCTCTAAACTTTCATTTAAATTAATAAATTTTTTTAAAAAAACAAACAAAACCATGGTTGGGAAAACTTCCAGAGTTTATACTGTGCTACTTCTGATGAAATAAACTGACAATTCAAATTGAAAAAAAAAAAAGTAAAATGTCAATAAAATGTGTAGAATCAACTGTAGGATCTTCTCAACCATTCCCAGTGCCAGGAGTAAAATAACTAAGGTTGTATGAGCAATGCTTACTGGTGACATTAGAAATTACCAGCTGTAGAAGCTGGTCTTCTTTCAGACATGGAATTGGTTGTACAAACATGAAAGCCTTCTCTTGTTAAAGATGATAAAAATGGCCGTTAAAGGTTAAATCATTTGGGAAATTATAAACAGTTCAGCTAATTATACACAGGTATACAAATGCATAAGAAAGCATTTCTCAAATTGGAATATGTACTCACAAAGAAAAAATTCTTTTAGGCCTAAGAACATGTGTAATTCCAGCTGAGGAACATTGTGTGAGGAGGCTTTATCTCAGAGTAAGAAAGTATCTTTTAATTGGAGGTCTTTATGGCAAAAGAACTAGGACTTTTTTTTTTCAGGGGATAGCTTGCACGCAGTCCCTCACTACCACAAATTATGCAGTCGAGTTTCCCGCAGGGGTCAGCACACCCCAAGTGCAATGGGTGAGCCTCATCCTGGGAAAACCACCTGCCTGATCATGGTGTTTCCTCTGCCAGGTAAGTATGAGAACTAGGACTTTTAATTGGAAAAATGTATCCATTCCCATTGTCATCTAGATGGGAAAAATATCAGAATTATAAGAACCACAAACTTTGAGAAAACTTCTCAATGGAATATTTAAACTCTAGTGTGAAGAGTACTATTGTAACAGATATACCAGGAACAATATAATTCTAGAGAAGACAACGGTTATTAATAACTGTATTTTCAAGTAAAAAACAGTCACAGTGGAACATCTTTTTTTACATATACCTTGTGGTTTATATAAACCAACATAAAAATATCCAATAAAAAGTGACAGACTGTGTCAGTTCCCTCATCAACACTGGAAAACTGTAACAATCATATATTTGGAAACAATATGCTTACCTTGCTTTTTGACATAGAACCTGAAGGGTCATCTTTATTTTGAGAAACATCTTCTTTCCCTCTTTCAAAACCTTAGAAAAAAGAATCAATTTATCAATATTACTATTTTTAAACACAAATGCCTTGATGCAAAATGACTGTATAAAAACCAAAGTACATGTATGAGACATGCTATATAGTAAAGATTGTATGTAAACCAATAAAAAAGTTTTTTAAAAGTATATTAGTATATGTCATATCATTTTAACTATACTACTATATCTGATGCATATGTGTATATGTGCACATACCAACACACACACACACACACACACACACACACACACACACACAGATTGTCAAGAGAACAAACAGTTCAGTGCTATAACGGGTGAAACCAGACCGCTCCTTGGAGACAAAGATTTTGAAACTCCATTCACATGCTTTGGGTATTTTGCCAGAAAGGAGCAGTCCTTGAAGAAGGACATTGTCCTTGGTAGACTAGAGGGACAGCACAGGAGAGGAAGACTCTACATGAGACAGACTGACACAGTGATGTGGCAAGGGAATCGAGTGTGTTGGATATGATGAGGTTGGCTCAGGATACAGCAAGGTTCGGAGACACTGTTCAGAGTCTCCAAGAGTCATCGCTGACTTGACAGCACATACCAATACCACCACCAGCACCACCACTTTTATATTCTGTGCCTTTACCTTTCCTCCATTTTTTTTTTTAATTTCACTGTGTTACATGCTAGATAGTATTTTTTATCTGCTTTTTAAAAAAATTCTCTGTATGTCCAATTTGCTACTGTCCACTGAATTTTCCATTTTGGTTATTGTGTTTTCTTTTATATAATTTCTAAAAGTCTGTTCTTTTCAACTCCACCTTTTTCCTCAGTTACCTAGCTGAAGGTTTGTTCATTTTCCCATCCCATTAGATGTAGTTAAATACAGCTTTTTAACCCCCTGATAATTCCAGTATCTGAGAAGCTTGCTGGATCTTTTTCTGTTGGCTCATATATACAATATCTTCTTATGTATCTCGTTATCATTGATCCTGAAAAATTATTTTTAGTAATAATGTGAAACCTAGAATGAAAATACCTTTCTCCACATAGAATTTGTGATCTTTATCATTTTTTAAAACAGTCTTCCAAATTATATTGTCTCTATTTAATTTTAAAGTATAAAAAAAGTTCTATCTGATCAGTGCTTTATTGAAGACAAATCTCCTTCAATAAATCTCGAGTGAATCCTTGGCCAAAATGTAGCTAAGTTGGGATGTGAAACTGGGCCATCTGGCTTCATTCTCCTACTCTAATATACATTTAGGCTGGCTTCTCCATTAACTTCAGCACAGATCTAGAATAAATAGACATTGTTCCCGATCATACAAAGCTATAATCATGTAAAATCATGATCCTTATTAAAGACAGTGCTGTTGTTGTTGTTGTTGTTGTCTACCATCAAGTCAAAACCAACTCTGAGCTGACCCTCCAGTAGGCTTTCAGAGGCAGTAAATTGCACAGAGGGAAACTACCCATCCTTTTCTTGTAGAGTAGCTGGTGGATTCGAACTGTATATCACTGGGTTGGCAGCACAGTTAAAAGAGTAAGTTGCGTTGTCAGGCTACTTGAGTTTAAACAGTGGAAATACCATTTCCTGGCTTGAGAAGCCTGAGCAAGCTAACTGCTAGTAGTTCAGTTTCTCATGAGGAATGCCTATTGTCTAATCTCTTTCCTAAATGTATGTATTTTGGAAATAAGTCATAAACTCCTGATAATGCCAATGAAGAGAGATGTGCATTACACTTTTATCTTCAGTCACTGCAACGACATAAAATTAAATTATTTACCTTCCATACACCTTGCCTATTCATCTGTAAATCAAGTTTATAGCACAATCACTTCAGAAGTGCGACAGAGTATCACTTCTAATGCAACAGAGTATTATTTCCATTAGCACTCTGCCCTTAATATCTATTTAGCAATACCATCGTCATTGTTACGGTATAACCTTATACAGACAAGAATTTGGTTTTTGTCCTTGGTTCCCAGGAGGCGATGTTTAAACCCCTGGCATTTTCTCAGCCTTTGGAGAGGCTCCAGATCCCACTAGAAGGGTTATGCTAATAGAGTGACTCTTTACTATGAGGTGTTGATCACACCCAAGTGCCCACCATGTGATCACCACCTGACTTCAGGGGAGGGAGGTGACAAATGAGCTCAACCACATGGGTGATAAATCAACCAAGTGTGGCTAAGTAATGAAACTGCAGTGAATAACATCTATTGATGCATACTCGGCTTAAGTTCCTGGTTGGTAAAAAACATCCATGCTTGGGAAAGTGGCACAACCCTTAGGACACGGAAGCGCCATAGTGGGCCTTTTCTGACCTCATCATGTGAAGGGTAGGGAAAATTTGGCAATCTGTAAGTCTGTGCTCTTTAAGTTAAGAGATCTGGAACTTAATTCCAGTGGTCAGGGCCAAAAGAACTGCATTTTGTGCGAGAAAGTTTATTGAGTGTGTAGGGAAAACATCAAAACATACATAGACACTGTAATATTTTAGTTACACACCAGGATCCTTGAGATTTAGCTGTAACAACACACGTTTTATGCTGTTTCGGTTTTACACATTTTTATACAGTTTTGTTATATACACTTCTACAAAATCTACAAAATCCAGTTGTGATATAAATTCAAAAGTACATATGGGAGAAAAGTACATAGGGACTTGACACATTAATATAAAATTATATAGAGAACACCAACCAAGAAAGTATATATGAAAAATCTGAGAGTTCAAAATAGAATCCCTTTGTTCTCATCCCTTCCCAACAAACCAAATTCTATGCACTAAAGATTACAAACTTGGTAAAAGACTTCTTTGCTCTAAGTTTACTTACTCCTATTTTTAGGCAGTGTTCTAGAGACTGGTATAATGAATATATCTGGAAAGAACATCTAAGACTAAGTAAGGAAAGAAACAAAAAGCAGGCAGGAACTAAAAACTAAAGTGCACATTTGTACTGTGGTGTCACCAGGAGAACAAAGGGTGGAGAGGGAGGAGGTGGATCTCCGTTATCATAGCTCATCACCAAGAAAATGCCTACATGCACCAACATGTGTCGTATGGTACAAGTACCTCCTATCTCTTAAATTTCCCTATTGCTGAATCTCTTCTCCAATGATCTTGTATCAAAGCAAGGGCACTTAAAAATTGTACATATATTTTAACTTTTAACATAGGTATGAAACAAAGTCATTCATCTGAAATTCTTATTTCTATTCTTATTACTGAAACAGCTATTTTAGAGTTTTTCTTCTTTTTAAAATCATTGCTAGTTCTAATAATGGGTTGTATTAAAGACATTATAGAATCATTTCTATAAACAAAGTGTATTTTGAGAGCTAGAAAACACCACCAATTTACTCTCCCATTACAACAAATCTTTCCAGATATTTTCAATATATTCTTTGACAAGATATATTCACAATTTTGTTATCAATTATAAAATTAAGTAAAAATCAAACTTTTTAAATTGAAGTGTTTATCAAGGTCACGTGATTATCTTTTACTATTAAATACACTGATGGCATGAAGGTCAGCAAACAGCACGTGCTCGTAAGCTTGCTGGCTTTAAATAACAAATAAGGAGACTGTCAAATACAGAAATAGAACCAAGTTTCAGTGTGTAAACAGATTATTTAATAACAAATTCAATACAGTATATATTCACAGTCATTCCTGAGTCTATAGAATACTATAATTTACTTTTTTCAGAATATAAGATAGAACAGTAACTACATGAAGACTAAACATGGTTCATGAAAGCAATTTAAACTTATGGTACTTATCAAGGTTCAGGACCAAGGATTTTCATTCAACTTGGAAACAATAGTAGGAAAGATTATCAAATAAATGAATTTATGATAATTTATTTGCTCAAGTCAATACTTCCTATCAGGTATTTCACAATCTCAAAAACTGTACAAACATGTACTGACTGCCCTGAGTATTTACCAAAATAACCACAGAGTAAGAGTTAATAAGAAATATAATTTAAATTCAACAATGTGTTAACTATGAGGAAAATACATCATTGTTAAAAAATCCACTAATTTCAGTGTCATCAATATAGAGAACACCTATTTGCTAAATCAAATCTTTACAAATAAAAAATCAATTTATATCTACATCTTACTGATCAATATTCAATGTCTGAATCATGAATTCATTTGATAAACAGAATCTTAAACATATATTTCCTAGCAAAAATGTTGTGTTTGCATACAAGCACATTTAAATAAGAAATCCAAGATCTTTTTAAAAAATCTTAGGAAAAACCCTTCAATTTAGAGCTTAAATATTAATTTTAGTATAGTTATTATTGTGTAGAAAAATGGTTAAATATCAATATTCTGTATCTGGGATTCATTTGCAAAACCCTCTGAGCAGTGTATTTACAGAATTTTGCATTTACTTCACATCTATAATAGGCTTGTTTTATCCGAGGATCATAGTATTTTATAAATGAAACAAAAATTCATGGTATAAGCAATCAACATTTCTATTTTATTGGATCAGTAGTTCTCAAGTTTTAGCTTAAGAGGTGTTAAGAGAAAATATGTTGAAGCCAAACCATCTACCAACACTTTAATCTTTCATACAGACTGATTTTTGTTGTTGCTGAAAAGGAAAAGAATTTTAAAATGTTAAAATGTCTGGTTTTATTCTAATGAAAGTCTGCAATAAATTAGGACAAGAATGCAAATTAAGCAAACCAACCTGGCAATGAAGGAGAAAGTTCATTGTAGCCTCCAAATGAAGCATTCCGGACAAGCTTTCGGCCATCAATTCGTGGAGGAAATAAACCAGGAGATACCCCAGTACAAGAAGAAAATCTACGCTGTTGTGAGCTCTCTTCTTTCATGGCTTAAAAGGTCTATTTAATGTATATGTTCACCCAGAAGGCTAATTAGACTAGTAAAGCAATGATGGGCTTTTCTCTAGCATCCAAATGCAGCAAAACCCACCAGCACAAACAAAGGACACACACATTTAACAGCAAAGAAAAAGGACCCG